GCAGTCAAGCGCGTGCCGGAGTGCGGAAGGCGAAACGTGACTGGATATCATCCAAAGCAGAGCTCGCCAATGCACAAAGATTCTCAGGACGAACTGTGTGGAAATGTGTTCGTGCACTACAAACAGTCGAACAAGGCCCGACCCGCATCACAACTGCTGCGATCAACGACGAGAATGGAAATCCATGTGCATCTGCCGAAGACCAGGGCAAACGTTGGGGCCGTCATTTCTCTGGTGTTCTGAATGTGCAAAGTACGTTCAATTCCAGTATTCTTGACTGTGTTCCACAAATGCCGTGTCTGGATAGTTTGGTTGCGCCGCCTGATCTGTTGGAGTTACAGCAGGCAATCACGCAATGTCGAAGTGGCAAAGCTGCAGGTCAGTCAGGAATCCTGCCGGAGATGCTCAAAGCCTGTCCTCCGGAGATGCTCAAAGCCTGTCCAGATCTGTTTACTGACCACCTACTGGAGCTTCTCCATTCAGTCTGGGACAGTGGCAGTGTTCCTGGCGACTGGGTCAACGCGCAGCTGGTGCCTATCCCCAAGAAAGGTAACCTTGCAGAATGTGACAACTGGCGAGGCATAGCTCTCCTCGACGTTATTGGTAAAGTGGTTGCTCGCGTCGTCCAGAGCCGACTTGCTGATAAACTAGACGATGTGCTACCAGACTCTCAATGCGGCTTCCGCACAGGACGTGGGTGTGCTGACATGATCTTTGCGGCAAGGCAACTAATCGAAAAGAGCTACGAGCATGAGCAGAAGTGTTTCTTCATCTTCATTGACCTGAAGAAAGCCTATGACTCAGTTCCGTGAGAGTGTCTGTGGTTAGTACTGCGAAAAGCTGGCGTCCCCGAGAAGCTGATCGCTGTTATCCGTGCATTCCATGACGGCATGACCGCAACTCTCCGTCTGTCGAATGTTGAAGCTGACCCCATCCCTGTGACGAACGGCTTGCGGCAGGGATGTTGCATGGCCCCTGTCCTATTCAACATCTTCATGTGGGCAGTGATGCATTGTTGGCGCCAGCACGTGCAGCCTATCCCTGGTGTAGGCGCAAAGGTCTTCTTCGAGCCAGATGGGAAGCTACTCCACCACCGTAGCCGCCGTGATAGATCCCTGGAGCTGACAGAGTGTCAGTTTGCTGATGATTCCGCTCTTGTGGCCGCGACACGCCAGGCCGCAGTTTCAGCCTTGGAGGTACTTGTGGATGTATGCAGCGATTTTGGCCTCACCGTCAGTGCCACCAAAACCAAGTTCATGGTCTCTGGCCCCAACATCTCTAACAACGATCTAGAGCCGCTCGCGATTCGAACTATGGAGATTGCCCATGTGTCGTCTTTTCGTTACCTTGGATCCAACATACACAGCAACGGCCGATGTCGTGATGATGTCACATCCTGGATTGCACAAGCTGCCAAAGCGTTTGGCGCTCTGAAGAAATCGATATTCCACGATGTAACACTGACAATATCCATCAAACGGTCAGTGTACAATGCTTGTGTGCTGTCGACTCTGCTCTATGGGTCCGAATGCTGGGTACCGCTACAGGCTGATGTTCATGCGTTGTCTGTCTTTCATCTCCGTTGTGTCCGCACCATTCTGGGCATCAGTCGTCAAGATGTATGGAATGACAGGATAACTAATGTTGAAGTTCTGGAGCGCTGGGGAGATACCTTGGACATGGAGTGTCGTCTCAGCAGACGTCGCCTTGAGTGGCTTAGTCATGTGGCAAGGATGGAGGATGAGCGCATCTCGAAGGCTCTACTGTTCGGTTTGTTTCCAAACAAGAGACCTGCCCATGGTCCGCGGAAAAGGTGGCGAGACTGTGTTCGGAGTGACGTCAAACCACTTGACGACTGGTATGAAGTGGCCACCTCTTCTCGCTCCAAATGGCGCCAGGCTTACCGTTGTCTGCCAGACAAGCAGAACAGACCTCGACCATCACCGGTTGTGTGCCAAACTTGTCACCGCTCCTTCAGTCGTGTAAGTGACAGGAAGCGACACAAGTGTACAGCTACGCGTGCCTTACCCGTAAGCCAACAGCCAGGAAGCTGTCACTGCGATCAGTGCGACAGATGGTTCCGGAGCAAGGGTGGATTTGCCCCACACAAGTGCTCGCCAGCAACATCACCAGCAGAGGCATCTTCTGACACACTTGAGTCACCGGTTACAAACAATGTATCCTGCGAACGCTGCAGCTTCCACTGCGCCCGCTGCAGCCGCTGTGTGCTATCGCGCCAAGGCATGAAACGTCACAAGTGCAGCCGTGGCTCGGCCAGAGCAACCAACACAGACCGTAGCTCCTTCTGCATCGTTTGCAATTGTGGTCGGCGTTTCAGTAGACCACAGGACCTATCCCGTCATCGCCCCTACTGTTCCGAACCTGCTCAACCCCCCATGGGGTCCGCATAGCCAGAATATGGCAGCGCGTCCAAGGTCCAAGGTCCAAGGTGTGTGTGTGTGTGTGTGT